CGTGCTGTGAGCACAGTGGTGTGAATATTGGTTACTGACCTGGGCATCTTAGAAAGTCAGTTTTGAAAATGCTTTTCAGGGACTTTTTCCTTGCCCTTACCAAAGGTCTCTCGTGCAGCTTTGCACTAAATAACCTGGTTAAAATAGTAACTATCTTCTCTGGAGCGTAACTCATGATTGTTCCAGACTTTGCCAAGCTAAGGGAGTGTCAGTGATCCTGCTCTAATTCAGCCGTTGGAAGTGCTGGGGAATAGATGAGGCTGTCTTAATGGTGGCTCTCTGCAGCTGAAAGCAGACCTGTGTAAAGAAATGCTGTAGAAGATGCCCTTCAGATGGAATCTGCTGAAATAACTTGATTTTTTTTTCTTCTTTTCCTCCCTTTGTGGTTGAGGTGATTGTACCTGCATCCCTGAGGTTGTGTTACCTTCCTCCCCAAAAGACCCACGGCTGCAGTGGCTGCTTCAAGGGCTGCTTTTCAATCCGCCACACTTAAATGGATCTGAGCTGGGACTTGGCTCCATGGCCTCTTTAAAATGATGTTATCTTCCTTGTGCCTAATCAGATTGAGATGTTGCTTCAGTGATGTTGCGCCCCTGCATGCAGTGGTGAACCAGTGAGGAAGATGGGGAGTACAGTCTGCTGTGAGCAAGCAGGAGGATTAGTTCTGCTTGAAGGGTCTGACACAGATCCGCATCTCTGAGAAGGGGGGACAGTAAGCATGTGGATTGGGCATCAGAAATAGGAAAGCTTGCCTTCCCCTTTTGTGTAGATGAGGAGGAGGAAATCTGAATAAGTAGCTCTTTGTGTGTGCTTATCTTTAATACTGTCTCATTTAGCCTGAGGTTTTCTCACATCTGCTCCCGTGCATGAAACATCACACTGACACACATTGCTCTACTGAAACGTTCGGCATTAGAAAACTATTTTTTGTTGTCATTGCCCTCCTAGTAAGCCTGTGGCCTTTTTATGATGTTGTGTACTTTTAACTGTCTTACGTGTGACTACCGCCATAAAGAGTGAAACATCTGCTTTTCTAAATGTTTCAGCAATTCAAAACTGTTTCAGCGGGTTGTGCGTTTGAAGCATGATACCCAGTTGGGTGCAATTCAGCTTTGAGTCTGTAAATAGAAGTTTTAATCTCTCTTCATTAGCTAGGTTTTCATGTGGGAGAGAGGCCCACAGTAGCCCAAGATAGCACGGGTCGTATGCGTGGCCTTTTTCTAGAAGTGTTTGTTTCAGCTAACTTGCATTCATAGTGAGCTTTGTGGCTTTCTATAACAGTGCTACTCTGTCTATGGCACTAAAATCACAGTTGGTAAACATCTCTTCTCTAATATCTGTTCATCGCATGTTCCTCGGCCTGTCTCCAGAGCTGCAGTAAGGCTGTGCGTGAGATCCAAACCCAAAGAGGCTTTGGTGGCTTCACTGAGCACACTGCTACATCTGTAAAAGTAGGTAAACTGGTGGGTTGCTGCTGTGCATCACTTCCGTTACTTGGATTCATACTGTGCTATGGTGAAACATCTAATTGCTCTTTTTCTGGTAAATCTTCTCTCAGGGTATAGGATGGTGGCTGGGGGATGCAGCAGACTGTCCCTTCTGGCTGGTCAAGGAGCTGGAGATAGATGAGCAGCTCCAGGGTTGGAAGACCCCGAGAAGCTCTTTCTGGAACTCTACTTTTCACAAAAGCTGCTGCAGGGTTGAATTGATGTATTCTGAAGAGGTATATTTAGGTCTGGAAGAGTAATTACACAGCTTTGAATAAGTCTCAAGTCAGAAGAGGGCAAAGCTTAGCTTGGCAGGGATTCAACCTTCTGGGAGTCGTTTTGCAAAATGGTACAGACAGCTTTTTTAAAATAAAACTTCTGAAGACCAGTTGAATTAGCACCTAGTACCAGGCATTGGTCTGATCTATTTCTGGCTCTCCAAATACAGAGTAAAACTTAAAATTAGACACTTCTGGTTTTAAGCTGTTAGTTTCTGCTTTGGTTTTAGGTGCCTTGTGATTAGGATGGAAGGAAACGCCTCTCTCGGTGCAGCCCTCACCAGGCTTCTTGTGTGTTTTTGGTTTCTGTGTGATGATTCCTAATTGTACATCAGAGAATATTCTAGGGCTAAATACAAAACTGCTCCTCATCAGAGTCCACTTCTTTCCCTGTTTTAGTTTTCTCTAATTACCAGCCTAACGATAGCTTGATGGGAGGTGGATAGACAAAGCCCATCGGTTCCCCACATGCCATCTTTTGGAAATGTGGAACTAATTTTTTAGAATTTGGTTTGAAACAATAGTGCTGCCATTTGCTTGTCTAATGATACAGACCCAGCCCCCACCTTTAAAAGCCACTCTTCAAAGTAAAAAAGAAAGTAATTGTTGAATGATTGTGAAACTTGTGACTGGAAAGCAGCTCTGCATTTTATCTTGTAAACTCCTTCCCGCCCTGTGCAGACTATTCCAAAGACATAAAAAGCCCCAAGCTATGCATGCACCTGCAGCTCGGGTTCGTGTTCGCGGTGCTGTGGGTAACATAACCCCCCCCACAAATCCTTTTCCTAATCCTTTGCGCCGTGTGGTATCTACAGCAGTTTTGGAAAGCCAATATACATCCTTAATAAGAAGCAGAATGTCTGTTAGCAGAGCTTATGCTAACAGCAAATTAGCTATGAAGGAGCTCTTTATTACTAATCAGTACTTTTTGCCACGTTTTGAAGTAATTAGCCTTCATTGGATTTAGCGGCATCCAGCAGATGCTTAATCATAGCTGCATTGTAATATGAGTGAGAACTCATGAGTAAGGAAACTCACATGCTAGAGCAGTTCTTGCCGATCCTACTGACGAAGCAGCTGTGGGGAGGGAGGCGCATGTGATAGGCATTTGGGAGCTGGAGCTTAGTCACTTAAATATTCACTTGTGACAGGAGTTGGAGCTCTGAGCCGCGTTTGTGAATTGATTTGCTGCAATGGGCTGTTGTACCTGTCTGATCTGAAGATCATTCACTTGTAGCTGCCTTCCAGGATTCAGCTTGAAGCTCTGGTGTCATTAGCAGAATTAGCATTAGCCTTGCTCTCTAGAAAATAGAAGTTCCTTTTTAAAGACGACTTATGCTGCTAAAATAGTTGATGCTTTCTGCATCCCATGTACCTTCCTTGTGTTTCTGAAGCACGTGTGTTTGCAGGTGTTTTTATATTGTATTGAATTCCTTTCTTCATCTGTATCTGAGTTTTCCTTCCTTTAGGTCATTCAAGATACCTACTAAGTCAGGTTTAAGGCACCTCACATCTGAAATTTAACTTTCCTAATTTGGCTGGCTCGGTGAATATCTTATTACAGGCAAAGCCTTTTTAATCCTTCTGGAAGTGTTTCCTCTCCTGTTTGAAGGAGCTGGAGTGAGTTGAGTGGAGCAATGAGAACCAGATCTCATCTTGAATTAATCTCAGATTCAAAGGTATTTTCGGCACTTAGATGCCTCACTTTTCAATGACTTCAGTAGCTGGCCTTAGTTCTGTCTGGAAGGAGTTTAAGTTCACTCCCTTGAAGGAATTGCTGCCTTCTGTTATCCAATGTTTTAAACGGGGATGATCAGCCCTTATCTTACATTACAGAGGATTACAGGTTTCAGTTATTTGTCAGCTACCCCTTTTCTGTTTTCTGTGTTTGCCTTGGCCAGCACATTCAGGTCCCACAAAATAGCTCAGAGGACTAGTGGGGACCTCCTGGGTCAGGATCCAGTCCCTGGTGTCTGTCCTGTTGGGCTCAACTCAAGGTTCCAGAAGGGCTTGTTGGGCTGTGCGCTGGCTTCTGCCCCGTCCTTCCCAGGAGAGTTGAGGTAGTACCAAGACTGATCATTCTCCCCTTTGCCACCGATCTCTTTGGCTCGCACCATGGCCCGGGTCAGATGGTGGGAAGCCTCCCTTTCCCTGCTAAAGCAAACAGTTTATCAGGTGCCCTTGCCCCTTTGTCCTGTGCTAAGAGGAGAGATAAGAGTGAGATGCAAACTTGCTAGGTCATAGCTGTCAAAAGTGCCTTCCCTTCCCTCCCCCTGGCCTCATTACTTTGAGAACTTAATTGGCTAAGGGCCAAGCTCTGAGCCATAAACGGATCAGGTCCTGTAGAGGATCAGTGGGGAAGCAGAGCCCTGTGGAAGGACCCACACACCTCGTTTCCAGGCTCCTTTGAGCTGGCCTCCTTTGAAGGGTAAAATCCAGCTTCCCCTGAGGGCTCTGCAAAAGCCAAAGCTAAACCTGAAGCAATTGCTGCGCTTGGGAAGACTTCTCTTCCTCCTGGGGCTCAGGCTATGTTGGAGCCATGTGCTTCTCCATTCGCCCTGGAGATCAGGGTAGGCTGGTGAGGGGCTGTGCAAGGAAAACCACCTCCTCCCTGGCTGGGACTGCTTTACGGTCTGAAACCCCCTCAAGCATAGTGTTTGCTTGGCATGGTCCTATTTGCGTGCATCCAGGAGTATTTCCGTGTGCATTTTTGTCCTCCTTTACACTGGCCGTCCTCACTGGCTTAGTCCCAGCATAAGAAGCAGGATGGCTGCCTGGGAAGGACAAGCCGTCCAGGACACATAGCACGTTTGCTGTACAGAGGCTATACAAAACAGGCATATTGTGGGAAGATAAGCTTGCGAATCTTCAGCCCAATTCAGTTACGGAGGTTGGCTCTGTCCAGGCTGGACGGTGAATGAGCTAAACCGGCTAAGCAGGAAATGTCAGAGAGTTTGTGAGAGTTTTAAAGGCAAATTCTGTTGATGAGATGATTAGTCTTCCCGTAACCTAGGTGGATTTTACGTGTATTGACTAGTGAAAAGCTTGCTGCTAATGTAACACCTTTGTGTGGTGCAGTTTCAGGTGGTGTGGACCAAGCTGTGTTGTAGAGGATTTTTACAGACTAGGTTGCCAGTCATTAGAAAAGATACTTAATAGTTGGAATTGATTTGGCTTTGTACCTTTATTTGAAGACTTTTTTTTTCTTTTTTTTTTTTTTTTTGCATTCTCATAGAGAGGAAGTTCAGGAAAACTGTGTCCGCTGGAAAAAGAAATTCACCTTTGTGTGTAAAATGAGTGCCAACCCAGCCACAGGACTCCTGGACCCCTGCATCTGCCGAGTATCTGTCCGTAAGGTGAGCATCTAGCTTCTGCTCTGGCAGGTAGTACCACCAGTGTACTGGTGTGTGTTATTAGCTGCTTTTTTGGCAGCAAGAATTGCATGAACAGTGGTGGGAAGGAAGGATTGTTTGGACCAGGATGTGACTCGAACAGAGCCTCTCTCTCCAGCAAGGGTGCTTGACAGAGGGTAGGAGTGACCGCGGTGGTGATAACCGTTGAGAGACACAGAGGTTTGTGAAATCCTGAGAGCAAATTCCAGGACTGAGTAATGACTTTCCCCATGTTTCCCTGGCACATATAACAGCTGCTTTTCCTGTTTGTTTTGTCTCTCATTATAGGAGCTGAAGGGCGGAAAAACCTACTCAAAGGTAAGACCACAGAAAAGGCAAATGTGGCAGAGTGACGATGGTCTGTTAGTGCTTTACACCCATTAGAAACCAGTGGCTGCTGCGTGAAGCAATTTGGAGAGATGGTCATTAGTTCTTAGTTTAAGCCTGAGTTAAGTGATTTCCCGAAAAAATTGACTTGCTGGGAGAGGATCCAGATTGTGCTGGATGTGGATTTGAGAAGGGGGTTGGGAAGATGATCTGCATGTCCTCAAACTTTGGGGAAGTTCTGAGTCAGATGTGAACTCTCTGGCTTCTGGCAACGTCTTGCTAATAAAGAAACACAGACTCCAGTTCTGTTCTCCAGAACACAGCAACCAGCTGTGGCTGGGGTAGACACCTCACTGCCTCGCAAGTGCAGGCAGAAACCTACAGCAGAAATCACTACCTACCAAAGCACAGGAGACCCTGAGGCAAAAACCAAACAGATCAGCAGGGGTGTTAGTTTTGGTTTGTTCCTCCCCATTTTCTTGCCTGTGCTATGGGAGAGACAATGGGCCACCCCTTCTCCTCTTTGTGCTGGATCAAGAAACAATGTTGGCTTAGAAGTTGAGCTCGCGCAGAGCCTGAAACCATGTTTGTTTGAAAATGAGTCACTGCTGCTAGTTTCTAATAAACAGATGTTCAGGTCACACGCAACCTTGTAAGAATTTCTTCTAATCGATAATCCTTCCTGAGACCATGGAGGCAACTGGCTTTGAACTGCACTCGCTTCTACGTACTGCTGCGCTGTGTGATAGAGGGCAATGTTGCTGCCCGCACTGTTCCTTTTTTGTTGCTAATTAGGACATGGTCTCTAGGGCCATCAGTTTCTCTTTCACTAAATTCACACTGGGAGGGAGGTTATTCCTCCATTCTGCAGAGCTGCCTGTCCGGGGAGAGCAGCATAGCTGGAGGAAGAGACATGCCTCTGAGACAAAGTAAATGCATCAGCCTGTTCCTCCCATAGTGTCCATCCTCAAGCTTCCCGCAGTATTTGGAAATGCAGAATTAAAGGAAGCCTGAAGGCATGTCTCCATGGTGGGGTTAACCTGGGCTCTTATTCAGGCCATGTTCTAACTTACTTGCCTTTTACTCAGTCTCCAGTTGTGTGTAATGACATTTTGAAAGAGACCTAGTTGCGCCAGCCCAGAATTGGAGACCAAAGCTCGAATACTTGTCATCTCTTGGGCTGGTATCTTGCTTGGTCTCCTGTGAAGAAGAGAGACGCGTTCTCCTAGAATTCAACAGAAGATGACGCGAGCATTTCAGCAGCTCAGAAGCGAGGATGTTACACCAGACAGGGTGATTAAGCCTTGCAGTCTTGCCCTATGGACTGGGCTTGTTTCAGGCAGGTCCTCATGGCAGAACTGACTTGGTTTTCCTGCTGTTTCTAACAGAAGTCTGTGGTGTATGTCCATGCAACTGTTTTCCCATTCTAAACAATGAGTCCTTACCTTTTTAAACTATGTTCATTCAGCTGAAAACTCCTTGAATTATGGCAGCAGATGTAGAGGAAATGCAACTTGTGAATTCCCTCTTTACCTGGACCCCCTTCAGCAGGGACTGAGAGTGATGGAGCTATTTGTGCTCAAGACAGAGATTCCATCGACTTGCGCACCTTTTGGTGTGACGTTAATGTCACTTCAGTGTCAGGGGTTATAGAGCGGAAGCCAACAGGAAGGACTGATAAAGCAGAAACTCTTTCCCCAAGCTGGAAGAAACACCATCAGCTGGCTGGAAAACTTAGGAAATTATTCTGAAAGGTTACATCTGAAAACATCCTTTTGTTAAGGGATCCTTCCTCTATATACTGGGAGTCTGCTTCCTGAGAAAAGCTTGTGACCTCAGCACACTGTATGGGTCGCTGGAGGGTTCTCCTGTACTGTCCTCCAATGTTGATCCTCTCAGAAGAGTTAGTGCTATGGTAGAGGAAGAGGGATCTGGGTCTGGGTCACTCCTGTGCCATGTTGTTCTGCTGGTGTGGTCGTGCCATGTTTCCTCTGTCCTCCAGTTTTGTCACAGTGATGGATTGCAGCTCTCTGTGGCTTTCTCCTGTCCTGTTTATCTCCAAGAGATAAAAATTCACTGTTTTTTTCTTATCGGTGAATATTCAGCAAGCAGCATAGCCCTTGGCTAGAAGAGACCAAGGAACATCTACAGCAAGGGCTGGAGAAACGCTTGTGTTAAGGGAATTCTTAAGAAGGGAGAGAAGCGGGAGAAAAGTTAGGGGGTTTTTTTCCCTTCCTTTTTTTGCTGAAGAAAGGTTCCTGCTCTATCCCACGCTTTTTTTTTTTCCTTTGCCATCAGCTCTTGTTCCCCTTTGAGAATGGGATGGAGGAAGCAGCTATGCTAATCTTGCTGCTGTCTTCCCCTGAATCATATATCTTGTGCAGACTGTGGTTTAGACTTCTGATTTGAAACAGTGGGAGCCAGGGTTCGTACGGCAGTGACTGTGGTTTATGCTGTGACTCCCTGTCAGCTTCCACAGTTGACAGAGCAACACGTTTCCTTAGGATGGTATTACTGTTTGTTGCTCCCTCTTCAGTTGTATCATCCGGCTGTCAGCACCAGGGCAGGAGAAATGTATTGCAATGCACAGGATAACAGCTAGGTCTGAGCTGCTGCTTCTCCACCTTCTCTCTATGTCCTCATGGAAGCTGACCTGTATGTTGAAGTGATGCAAACTTTCCATGCTTGGATGGTTTGGCCAAATGTGGGGTACAGCATCTCTTCCTGATCAGATTAGATGAGACACGACTGACTTTCATTGCTAAAGCTCTGCATAGAAGAAGCTGTAACTTTTCGTTGAAACACTGTATTAATACATCAGGAATTGGAGCAGAAGAACAAAAGTACTCTTCATTGTGTTTGTCTACTCTAGAGGCATCAGTACCCTCTTGGAATTTGCCTGTGACCTTCAACTTTCTGTCACCTTCCCTGTTTGCTTCCCCTTTGTTAGAAAAGGTTTAGAGAGCTCACAACTAAACCCCTCCAAATATTTCTCTTCCCCTCTGCCTGTCAGACATACCACTTGCTAGTTAAATCTTAGCAGTGTCGAGGAAACTGCTCTGGGAGTTCCACAGCCCAGGAGCTGCATCTGTGGGGTGAGGCACATGTACTGCTGCATGGCTCTGGACTTCCAGCTTGCTGTGTTGAAAGTCTCAGTTTTGTTTTTCAGGACGGTGTCACTTTCCTCTGTAACAATATCCTTTCATCTCCTGGTTCACATGCTCCACTGCATTCTGGGATGGCCTGATACAAAGAGTGCCTTATTATGTTTGCGTATGTGTGATTCTGTTTTTTCCACATCGTTGACCTAGTGCCTTCCATGTCCTTGGTTATGCAATGGCTGCGGGCTGGTTAACACTGTCCTGGCCAGCACCACTACTGTACATCCTTCCTCCACGTGGGACTGGCTTCCTGAAGGTCTCCGAGTGTCCACCTGGCTTGGGATTAGGAATGTGACCCTGCCCATCCTCAAGAGTAGGGGGTCTTCACAGCCACAACTCTGTGTGTACTGGCTTCTGTTTCTGCCCTTGTTCACAGATGTGCTCTCTTCCTTTGGTCTGTGTATCCCTTTATTGAGTAATTTTTGTTCTCTCCCCTTCCCCTCCATTGTTTTCTTGGCTACAGCTGGGTTTTGCTGATCTAAATCTGGCAGAATTTGCGGGCTCTGGATCCACTGTACGTTGCTGCTTGCTGGAAGGATATGATACTAAGAACACCCGGCAGGACAACTCCATCCTAAAGGTATGGCAGCTAGTACTGCCACAGTGGAAATCCTACTATTGAATTCAGAAAGATCACAGCCAGAGTGCAGTGCCAGGCCTGTGAGAAGGTCCTGTTATGTACGGAGACAGGGTTTTGCTTTTATGCTGCTACTCTGATTTGGGAAGCTTCCCTTCACAAAGTTGCCCTTTGATATCTTGGCATCCATTTGGCCAAGCGATGACCCTTGTTAGCATTTTTGTCATCAAAGAAACCATGAACAGGAGGAGGGAAAAAAGTTCTAAGTGCTTTATCAGGGTGGCCAGGCCGGTGTCCTGCTGAGCCACTGCAGCTTGGAGTTAGTGATGCCAGTGATTTGGGGCAGGGAGGAAAATACCTTGCTGAATCCCTGAAATTGATTTCCTTTGGAAAGGAACTAGGTCTTGCTAATCTTTACACCTAGCCCTTGACCTCCTGGCTGTTGTGAAGTGAGAAGCTCACTGCAGTATGGCTAATGATGTGCTTGTCCCCCCTCTCCAGGTCACGATCGGAATGTCCCTGCTTTCGGGGGACCCCTGCTTCAAAACGTGAGTTTCTGGGTGCTCGCCCTGTTCTGGGCAGACCAGGACACCTGGTTCTTTTGCAGTTCTATGTTGGAGACTAAAATTAATGGGGAGGGGAAAAAGATGCCCTTGACATTGGAAAGTACAGAGGAAAACTTGAAACTGATGGTCTGCACTGTTGAATCAGCCAGAACAAGCGTAGTCAGCCTGTGCTGTTAATTGGTTTGTTCTCTGCTCTGGTTTTCCCAGCTTGGTTATTGGTTGTGCACAGTATTTTCTCTGCTAGTGTCAGTTAGGTTTTGGAAACCAGTGGACATTGATGACAAACTCCATGTTTTGTGTGAAGGATAGAATTTCTTAAATCTTCACTGACCTCTGAGAAGGGAAAGGTCCGTGAAGAAAACAGTCTTAACAGTCTTTGAAATGAGCATACTTCAGCACATATCACGCAGGATAAAGATCTTGAATTGAAACAGCAACAAAAATACTGCAAGGCTGAAACATTTCAATTCTCCTTTTCTTCTACAGGGACCCAGGTTCACAATTTATATTAATTAGCAGAGAAATTGCAGTCGTACTTTTTTTTAGTGCATCATGATAGGAAGGAATAAGTACAGTTAAGCTATAGAGCAGTGTTGTTGCTTGAAGAATTGTTGGGGGATCAGCTAACAAATATACCGACAACATGTACCTTCATATTGCAGTATAGCGTTGCAAGACTGCAGTCCAAGCCAGCCTGCCATAGTGTGCTGTAAGGTGTGTGACTGTACACAGCAGGACTGCCATGTGCTGCTAGAAATATTTTGTGTTGAATCCCAACAGTATGAGAGAAGAAAGCTTTATCTTGAGGCCATCTCTTGTAGCAGTGGTGTTCTGGGCTGAAAGGTCTAATTTTAGGAGCTAGCTTGAAGTGTATAAATTAGCTTGCATTCTTGTTATAAAATGCTGCATAATTTTTGGTAGGTTTATTTTGTGAATGGCTTTTCATAGTGCTTCAGCATTTCCTGAGACTTTCAAACCCTAAATGCAGTGTCATCTGATTCTGAAAAATTTCTGCTTCAGAAGGAAGTGTTATAAAGAAGTTTTGGATGTCTTAAACCATAACTATAACAGTAACAGATGTTTTAAATCTAGGGTGCTAGGATGTCTGGCAATAATATGTCTCACAGAAATACCTGTTGCTTCTTCACTATGGAAGCAAGTCCCACTGTTAGAGTGCCTGAAAACAATACAGAATTGGATATAAGTATCCATTTAATATAAATAGGGTCAGTCTGAAAGTCAAACCTCCTAATTTTCTTAAAGGATATTTGCAGTCATTCCCATTTTTTCCTTATATGTTGACTATGTGCAAATGTCTAAAAATGGAAGCTTTGCATGTAGAATAGTCCTTGATCAGCAGAGCTTTCGAGAAATGGCACTCATTAGAGGATTAGGCAGGAATCAAACTGTGCTGGGAAATCACTTCCGAGCACTGACTTTCTGCAGCACTCAGATGAACCTTCTCCTCCTGGATGTCGTAGAGGGGGGCTGAGTAGCCTGAGCTGACAGGCTGCTCTGACAGCTGGTGCAGGAACCGTTTGCTTGATTAAGGCTGTAAAGGCCTTATTAACCTACGAAGCAAAGTCCCAGAAGTACCTGGGTACATGTAAATCACTGATAACGTGATTAGGGAGGGGTTTTTCCTGGTGAAGGCATACTGTGGGTTTCCTGAAACCTTTATACACATATAAAATATTCTCAGCACTTTATTCTTTCTTCCAAAATACTGCAAAGGTCCTCTCATGTAGCATCTTCCCTCAGAGCTCCAAGTGAGACAAATAAAAGTTGTTCTTTCTCACTCCTCACTTAAAAAGCATAATATGATCCATTAGTTCCAGTTCAGACTTCGGGCTACAGGGAGGTTAGGGCTCTAACAGGAAAATTCACTTTGCCACAATGCACATGCCGTGGCTTCCACCCAAAAACACTTCTGGAGGATGGGAGGGGGCTCTAGGCACTTGCAACTCTACCTTGCAGTCAGCATTTACAAAGGGATGTTGGGAGCACACAGAATAACCAGAAAAATAATTTTGGCAGCTGGAAAAATACTTTCGTCTCACTGAAAAGGAGTTTAGTCGTCAGTTAAAAAATAGAAAGGTTATCTGATAGTTGTAAAAGTACTCTTCTAGGGGGGGACAGGGTTGCTGGGATAAAAGGTTTCTTTTTTGACCCAAGTCAGAAAGGTGTAATGAAAGGATGCTGGAATTGAGAGCTGGACAACAGCAAACTGGCTGTTGTGAAGCCAACTGGTCACTGGACACATGTTGAGGGAAAAGGGCAGCTCTGGATGGTCTTCTAGAGGATAGATAGTGCAGGCTTGAGCCTGTTGTCCTGTATAAATGATTGAATGGTCTCTTTTTGCCTTAATTTACCTCAGAAACTTGCTTTTTCTTGTAATGCAGTCCAGATGCAGTACAAGGTAGGGAAGACCTGAGTTTCGCGTGTAGGAAAACAAAATCCAATGTCACGCTGTGCCGCTTGTCACAGAGGGCTGCCAGTTTCCCCCCACCACGAAGGGTAGGGGCAGGCGGGGGAACCCTCTTGATAGAGCAGAGTGGGAATTGCCAGTGCCCTGGGGTGATTCCCGGTCCCTGCCTGGCAGTTTGTAACCTTCTTCACTTCTGATTACAGGCCTCCTTCCACTGCCAAATCCATCACCATACCGGGACAGGACTCTACCCTGCAGCTGACCTGTAAGGGTGAGGGAACCACAAGCAGCAGCAGCACCAGTTCAGCCACGATTGGCTCTCTGCGTCAGACCAAGCCAAGAAATGCCATGCTCAGCTCGGGTATGAATGCCTGTCCTGGAGCCATGCAATGCTTGGCTGTGCCTGGACACTCTTTTGTTTTTTTTTCCCAGCAGTTGCAAGCGCAGAAACTCTTTAATTTTTCATGTTTTCCTGCACCCATCCTCACCCCTCTGCTCATTAAGAAAATTGAGAAAAACAAAACCATCTATTAAGAGCAACTGAGGAGAGGAAAGATAAATCTTTGGCACATGCATATTTCTGTTAGTGGAGATAAAGCAATTTGTTCTTTTTGCTGGGGACTTAATAATTCATGCATTGCACTCATCCCTGCTTTCCATTGTGTTCAATGACAACACTGTTCTCCACTCGGCTATTCTGTTGCTCGGACTTACCTTCTAGAAAAGTTCCTCTGAAGGTTTTAGAGGTTGGTTTGAGGTCTAATGGCCTTGTTCCAGCTGCTGATGCAGAGTTCTTTGGCTTCTGTATGAGCCCATTTTCAAGGGCACTGCATTTTCCCATAGCTTTTTTTCCTTCCCAGCACATTTCAAATGTGCAGGCGGATACACTGCACCAAAATAGCACTCTAGTCTCATCACCTCAGTGACTTAGAACACTGTGCAAGTGCTCTTCTTAAAAAGCTGGCTAACACATTACACTTAAACTTCTGGATAAGCTTCCTGCAAAAGAGACAAGCGGGGCAATAGCAAAGGAGCAGAGGTTATGCTGAGGTTTCTATATCAAATTCAGATGTGATTTAAATGGCATGGGCCACAAGTCACAGAAGGGAAAAGGTAGTAACAGGAGAAGCACCCAAACGGAGGTTGTAATACTTTACTGCCAGTGGCCATTTGATGCTTTCTTGGTCTTACCTTAATGCTTTTAACTATGGATAGCTTCAGACACTACCAGATCCTTCAAGCCCCCAGAGATGCTTGTAAATTCAGGTGCTGGATGGTAGAATTAGTGATAAACTTGACAGAGAAGCTCATTGTTCTCTTCCCTACTCCCCAGCTGCTTCTAAGCTCTGTGCTAGCCTGTACAGCAGGGGTCTGCCAACAGACTTGCCCTTTCCATGATCTAGTGTCCCAAGATCAGCCTCCAGTCCAAGGTGATCAGTGGGCAATATGCTGGCTTGGTTATGGTCTAAGTGGAGTGCCCTGTTGTTCCTTGGCAGGTGTCCCAGAAGAACCGGATCAGAACCTGTCCAGCCCAGAGGAAGTCTTCCACTCGGGGCACTCGCGGAACTCCAGCTACGCCAGCCAGCAGTCCAAGATCTCCGGTAACCATTGATCTACACAGCTCTGCCAGCACTGGCCCCATCCATTTTCTTTCCTTCAGCAAGCTCTTGTGAGAGTGATTTGCAGCCATCTCTCTTGCCCTGCTCTGTAATATCAGTATCCTGTTTAGTCTCTGCAGATGAGGTCATAGATGTATGTCTAAACCTCTGTATATGGGAACAGAAATGCTGGCCTAAAGCTGCCCTGCCTGTTAACTGTGCTGCCAGGAAGGGGAAAAGATCTGGTTTGTAATCGCTCTGTGTTTGCAGGCTACAGCACGGAGCACTCCCGTTCTTCTAGTATGTCTGACTTGACCCATCGCCGAAATACCTCCACCAGCAGCAGTGCGTCCGGAGGGCTGAGTATGACAGTGGAGTGTCCTGAGGGAGAGCGGGACCACAAACTAGAGAAGCCACCTCGCCCCCCCCGACCAGCCCTTCTGCTGGATAGACCCTCCCGGTAAGTAACTGTGGAGCAAAGCCCCTCCTATGGGAAGGCGAGACAGAATCTACTCCTTTGTCTTCATGCAGTGGTAGATTGGATTGTAGCTACCGAGAAGGAAGCTATTGCCAAGAGAAGCAGGGCAGTAAATGAAAGTCTCGTCTTGAAAAGCTAAGTAAGTTTTCCCTTTGTTTTTTCTCCCCAGGAGGAAAAAGGATTCAGTGGAGAGTCACCCAACCCGCGTGGATGACACCAGGATCGATGCTGATGATATAGTGGAGAAAATAATGCAGAGTCAGGACTTCACAGATGTCAGCAATACTGAAGGTGAGAGGAGGAGTCTCAAAGGGGACATCTTGGCTGTTCCTTTAGCAAGGCTGCCAAGCTTTTACAGTCAAATCTGATCTGCCATGGACTCCATTCCCCTTTTGATAGCAATTTACTTTCAGTGCTTGCTGGGTGTTTCTATGGTAGATAAACAAACCATGTGGATTTGAGAGCTGTGCATCCATTAACAAATAGTGCTTGCTGCTGTTCTACACACTACAGCAGAGGTTGAACAGTAGCTCAAACATACAGGATGAGAGGGGAAAAATACTGATTATTCAGCACAGTGGAAATCAGTTACATCAGTTGTCTGTACTGCTCTGGTGGCCTTTGTCCAGGGTCTGCCCAAGAGTATTAAAGTAGGAGAGCACAACTGGAGGGGAATCAGCACATCTCTGCAAAAAGATGGGAAGAAGACGGGTCACAGCGTGCTGGTCATCAGGTCTGTCTGAAAGCCTAAGAAGGGGTTTTCTCTATTGCAGTCACAGCATCTGTTAAGAGAAAACTAATAATATTGCTGCATTTGTTTTAATTTTCTGGTTTAGCCTAGAAATCAATCTTTTTCATCTAGTTCAGGTTTTCTGGTAAGTTTTAAACTTGAGCCTAGCTTCTTATTTGTGCTTCTATAGTTTACCCTTAGTCACCTTAAATCATCACACATGGCAACACTCTTATCCTGTGGGGATTTACACCTCACTCAGCATGGGTTAAAACTAGACTGAATGTAGTCACCTCTCACCAGTAGAACAGGCAGAGTTTGTCCTCCAGTGAGCCTACAAAAGCAGCATGAGGTTCCACATCTCATCTGTTCAGATGTGTTTAAGCTGACCAAGAACTTGCATCAACGGAATTGCCTTAAAAGAAGAAGCTGGAGGAGTATCACTGAATTAATTTCTCTGCATTTACTCTTCCAAAGCTTAATGCCGTCATTGATTTGTACATGAGGCTCCCTTTCAGAGCAAGAAGAGGAGTTCCCAGGGTCTCTTACTGTGGGAACAGCAGAAAGTGTGCACATGCATTCACAGAAACACACTTGTTCCTGTGCTGACCGTTGTGGAATGTGTCTGGGAGGGGAGCACCTGGCAGCTGTTGGTAGTTCTGGATTTTGATGTCTTGCTTCCTTTTCTATCTGCAGACAGTAACCTGAGGTTGTTTGTGAGCAGAGATGGAACAACTACATTGAGTGGTATTCAGCTGGGAAACAGGTAGGCTTCCTGAAAGGCTGGCAGACAGAGGGGCTCCAGAGAGATTAGTGAGGTCTTTGTACCCAGGAAGCTTTCACCTTTTCCTGCAGGAGAGATTTCTAAACATCATGTGCTACATGATGGCTTTATTCCCACATTAACACCCCTGGGATCCCTTTGGTGACAGGCTATAGCTGCACTGGAGTATGAATGCAGTTCTCAGCAGGAGCTCGGGGGATAATGTGATCTTAGTAGTAAGATCCAAGAACAGAAGTAAGGAGTAAAAGGACAAAATGGTAGAGGTTGGTTCCTGTTTGCTCCTGTGCCCGAGTGAAGGCAGGGAGCTTTGCCTCCTGCTGGTCTGCAGCAGAACTGCAGCAGCCTGGTTTATTGTCCCTTTTCCCTGCCTCCTCCATCGTCGTAGAGGGCTTGTTCTCTCATGAAAGACTTCTGAATAAATAAAACCTTTTCTTGCCACAATAGCTCTTAGCACAGTATCTTGGCTAGTTGCGTTTGAGCCTTTACAGCACCTTTTGAGGTTAAAAAAAAAAAGCAATAATGGTAATGCAAAGATGTGTCAAGTTGGTGACAAAATTGGGAGCACAGCAAAGCCAGGAACACTGGCTCTTTGCACAGGATGCTCCCCCCCTTTCCTCTGTCCTTTAGAAGGATTCATGTGTTACACCCAGCTCTTTCAAATGCTTTAGTGTTAGCTTGCCACGTAGCTGTCTGTTTTGTGTTATGAGGGCTGACTTCTTGCCAGACTGACTCGTTATTTTCAGTATTTTGTGCAGGGTTAGAGGGTGATGTTTGTGAGTGGAGAGCTCTGAGTAAGAACTTGCTTGCTCTAAGTGGCTGGGGAAAATAACCTGGCTTTCTTGTCTTCTTCCCCTCTGCTACTCCAGGGTCTCATCTGGAGTTTACGAGCCAGTGGTGATTGAAACCCACTAAATGTGAAGAACAGGGTAGAGCTGCTGGAAACAGGCCCCCTACCCAGTCCGCTGCCACATGGATGCCAACCTTTACCTCTCTTCATGCAGCATTCCAGAAGGGATTTCTCTGCGCCCCTCCCCATACGTTTGCACTGCAGAACTACTCCGAGACCACTCCAGATCATGCACTTTCCCTGCGTTGGCATTACCCTTCTCTGCTTCCCAGTTCTTCCAGTGCCTGCCTTCCCCCTGTTTCTGATCAGACGCAAGGTGTCTGTTGGGTTTATCCTTAGTCCTAGAGGATGTTGCTCATCTGCATCCCTCACTCCACCCATTCACTTGCAACAGGGGACTTCTCAGCTTCTGTCTCCCCAGAACATTGGGTTATACCACTGTGAACTCTTCAAACCACTGGGGGAGGGGGAAACCATTCTAACCAAACCAAGAGCTGCTTGTTGGTGACATGGTGAAATGGCCACTTGCAGGATGCTTTATTCCATTGACTCTGCAAGGGAACATCACCTTCCAAGGCAACGGTTTTACTGAACAAGGTATGCTATGGTGTGCACTTCACCTTCCTACCCTCAAATCCCCAAACATCCTCTTCTCATAGGAAATATCTCCCAAAAGTGCATTTCAGAAAACTACCGCAATCCAGATGGGAGTTGATAAACAGTTAAATGCTAGTGCTTGTTATACCACTAACTGCATTACGCCCTTCTACTGCTGGGCATGGAAGGGCAGTGTTCATCTTTCAGCATTAGCAGGAGCACTTTAGAGGTTCCAGATTTTACCTGGAGGAGGCTTCTACTTGCTGTTCCAGGAGCATAATCCCTGTTCGCTGGACTGATTCAGCAAATAGTCACTGTTGGAGCTTGGAATACAGAGCCTTTTTTTCTTTTTTTTTTTTTTTTTTTTTGGCTCAGGAAGGGAACTGCCCTTCTTGGACTGTGAAAAGAATCTGGTTATCTGATCACCCTCCCCTGGGCCAGAGCAGGATGCAGTTGACTGCAGTGGTCTCTCTGTTGTGGTGGTGATTAACAATTGCCTCTCTTGGCCTGGGCCAGTAAGGGAATTGGTGTTGGTTGGCCTTTCTTGCCCTGTCAGCAGGGATCTATGCCTGAGCTGGTTCCTTTTGGGGCTGGGGAGAAGCCACTGTCTCTGCCTTCAAAGGTAGAATGGGTGTTTGCTGCTGCATTAGCCACAACAGCCATTTTTACCTGCTCTGTGGCGAGTGAACTCTTCTGACAAGGCTTCAAACTGTTTTCTGGTTGATCTTTCAATTGCTCTTCATGGGGTTTGGTTTCTGCAGTTGTTTGACACTTTAGCTGCCTCTTTTCCTTGCAGTGTGTGGCAGAGTTGTCAGTCCCTTTCAGCTCCCACTTATAGATTCTCCTGGCAGCTGAATTGCAAACGAGGATCTATGCAGACTCCAGCCGTGGGCCATCAGCAGGCTGTGCTTGCAGCCCTTCCTGTACAGAGACTCTCAGCCAATAAGCTATTTCTGTGTAGTGCCCTTTCCTCTTTCGCCGGTGTACTGTAGTAGCACTCAGCGGTCGTGCACTCGGAGCAATGGCACACTCCTGGCCATGGCTGGGAACGTGCCCTCCTCTGACACACGTGTGCGTGCACATGCACAGGCACACACTTGTCCCATTCACGCAAGGAAAGACTTGTAACCGATCACGTTGTTGTCCAAATTCTTAGTTATTGTAAAGCCTTCTTTTTAAGGAGGGGGAAAAAAAAAAAGGATTTATTGTGGTCTCTGTGGCCAGAATGCATGCAGATGAGCTACAGGAAAAGGGAATTTGGCAGAAGGAGAAACAAGGAATGAAAGGGCCTTGATTTTTTTTTATTTTTTTTTTCCCTGCTAGCTAAGGATGGCTGTATGGGGAGGGTGCTAGGCAGTGTGGCAAAGCTATACAGCTGTTTACTCTGTTTTGACAGTTTCTCTCTTAAAGTCAAGAGGTTTCTTTCTGTATTTGGACAGACCACGTATAGGATATGGATCTTTTTCACCCTTTTCCTTCAAAGGGAATTAAATTTGGATTAGGGTAAGAAGGGGGTACAGACAACACCTTGGTTTGGTTTAATGTAGGGAAAAAGTATTGGATCTTTTGAGTCTGTCTAGAACAAAAGCTCTTTCACACTTGCTGGTGATTTTTAATGGTGATCTCTTCTTCATTCAGTCTGGGTAAGTTTGGCACTCGCTAGCAGGCTGGTGAGCATCCTGTCCTGTTCCTGGGATGCTGCGTGTCTGCAGGAAGGGGAGAATTGCTTGCCTTTTTCTCTCCCTGGGACTCTGCCAAAAAGCCAGGCCTGGCCTGACCCTCTGCTCAGGTCAGGGTGAGGGCAGAAGCAGGCTCAGACAGCAATGGATGTTCGTGCCCCATCTGCAGATGGCTGTGCAGAGCTGAGGGTCAGGCTGCTCTTCAGGGGCCAGCGAAGCCCCTCAGGAAATCAGGTCCAACTAGGACTTGAAAGGAGCAAACATAAGCCAGGAAAGAGGCCAAAACCCAGCTCACTTCTGCTGCTTTGCTTCTGTTCCCATGAAAAACAATGGCAGTCACTGAGAGCAGTTGGGAACCCAGGGCTTTCTTCTGGGCTCCCGTTGGCAAGAGTCGGCTGCTCCGAGGCACTGGCAGTTCGGCATGTCACGAAATCCGCACTGGGACAGAGGGAGGAATCTCTTCCCAGCGAAGCAAAAGGAGAAGCAGTTGAGCTTTTTAGAAAGCTGGTCTCGTGTTCCCAGGCTGGCAGAGGCATAACCTGCTCCATCACATAGCTGTGGCCAACCTGGGCATGTTTCTGGCTTCTCTTCCAGCAGCTTGGCACATCACTGCTTGTGTTTTTGATAACTGTGTCTCATAGGGTATCTCTTCCTTGTCTCCACGTTATTACTGACTCCACAGATTCTGGTCTTTATGTAGCTTTTTAGCTCTCCTACCCCTCATTTTGAATAAGAAAGCAGCCCTAGTCATTCAGCCTGGTGCAGCACAGCTAGGGCTGGAGCACCCAGAGCAGACCCAGAGGGAGAAAGGAGCAGTCTGTTCCTATTTCTAGATCCCACACAGAGCTTCCACTGCACCATCCATCACGAGCGATGCCCAGCGGTCCCTGACCGGTGGTGGGCGTACAAGGCGGTGGTGATGGAAGTGGGGTCACTTGTCCCGCAGACTTGCTGCCGTCTCTCAGGAAGCTGCATCTCATGAGCACTTTTTTCCTTGTGGCATCGGTGCCGTCTGTTCCTTGTTGGACTTCGAACATTTAAGTGAATCGGTTTCCAGACCCAAACCGCTGGCTAGTTTCCTTTTGGTTTTTTTTGTTTTTTGGGGTTTTTTTTTTTTGTTGTGAAGTTTATTGAAATTTTTTTTCTTATAAACCCAGCGGGCTGGTGTTTTTTTGACTGCATTATTATGTCATTGATATTTTATTCCTGGGGGGCTGAGGGGGGATGTTCTTCCCTATGTTGTTCCCCTTCTCAGGGGATTCAGAGGTGGCTTAAACAAGTAAAAGGACCTTATTGGCAAGACTCTGCATCCCCTGGGTCTCTGATGCAGGTGAGCAGGGCTGCTCATGTCTGGCTGACCCTGGACAGCAGAGCTGGCTCTCTGCTCCAGTCTCGGGGGCCAGGTGAAAGATGTGGGTTCTGCTCTCCCAGTTTCTGGACCTTTAGTTGGTGGAAGCCCATTGCAAAGAGTCGGAAAATTCAGTGTAACTTTTTTACTAACTTTTTTTTAAAAAAAACAGTGTAAACTGAGTGAATGTCCAAAAGAATAGGCTTAGTTGTGACTTGGTGAAGGAAATGGGTTTCAATTGGAAATAGCGATGGAAAAAGGGGGAGAAGGATGTTGCTCCTCCATCTTCTTCTTTTGTATGGTCGGCACTTTAAATGGAGGCCTTTGTGCTGTCCTGACCCTCAGTGTGATGGGCTGCAGGCGTGTGATCTCTCCTCCCCGCCTCATTGCCACATCACTTTGGCCCCTGCAGAAAGTTAATAAGCCCTTTTAAATGTTTGCTTCAGTTTTTAGACGATTCCGAACCAGGCCGAGACCTGAAGAATATGTATTTCATTCTCATCTTAGGAGGGGTTGACTTTTTATTTATTTTGTCGTTGCTGTTTCTTTTTAAACTGGTGGCTGTGCAGCTGGACTCTGCACATGCTGTTGTGAACCTCTGGGAAAACCTCACTCCAGGTACGCTAGAGCACCTAGGCTAAACACCCCTCCTGGAGAGGGCCCCCCCCTGCTCCCCTCCTCGCTGCCTTACCCGGGAGCTGCAAACTCACCCTCCGCCCCTCCTGCCCCATCCCTTGCCACCCCACCTAGTCTCTAGCTGAACAAGTTCTTGCTCTGGTGACTGAGCCCTGTGGACAAGGCTGGTCCCCAGGGGCAAGTTCCTGCAAACACTGCCTGGTCGCAGGTGTTTGTCCTTGAAAAGCCACTTCCTCGCTGGGGGGGGGTGATGAGCGCAAAATTCCCCCCCTCCCCACTTCCCTCCCAAGAGCTGCGTCGTCCATCAGCCCACCCGCACCATCCGAGCCTGATGCCCTCCACAGCTCTGCGTTGCATCGCCGCTGCCCCATCGGGAGGGAGCAGACGTGGAAACCTGGGAAATAAAAAAGGAATTTGGATGAAGCTGTGAGCAAGAGGTGTGGCTGAGCCTCGTAACTTGCCTCAAACACAAGGAATAATGGTAGAGCCCGTATTTTTGTGGGGGGAGGGGAGGGAAGGGGAGATCATGTTTTATTTTCTTGAAAGTTAATTGAGCTTGGTGATCTTCAGATGAGGCGCGCACTTGATTTATATCAGATTCTATAGAGAGAGATCGCTGATATTTTTGGAAAGGGAATGGGTCTATGCAAACTTCCAGAATTGCTTGAAAGATAGTTTAACATTTTTTTACTTTGAAATCTAAAGATAAATCTAACTTTTTTCTTAAAGCAGAGGTGCGTTTAGAAAGAGAAGCTACTTCCACTGCTCTATTTTGATGATGATTCTTGGAAAGTTTGGGCTGGAGGGAATGACTATTTTTCACCATTTTTATCTTGCTCCTCTAGTTTTTTTGTTTCTTTTTCTAACGGAATGCTGTGCCGTCTTTGATTCAACAGATCGTGTTTGTATTTTCTGTATCTGGTTCCTAACGTAGAGAAATAACAAATATATGAGGAAATCAATATAATGTCAAATGTTGTTATGGTTTGGGGGAAAAATAAAGGTTTTTGGTACTTCACACCGATTCTTCTTGCTTTGTTTCTTGTTTTAAATGTATTTAAGTATCTGCTAAGGAAGCAGAAGGGTGAGACAGGGCCTGCTGGCATGCAGGGCCCTGGAATAGGATTTGGCTTTGCCTTCTAGGTTTTCCTTGGTGGCTGGGAGTGGAGATCCCTGCCAGCCCTTCCCTGCAGATGGGAGCAGGGCCAGAGAGGGGAGCTGGCAGCCCAGCACCAGTCCAGTGGATGTGACAGCCTGCCATCCAGGGGGAAGGTGAACTTGCGGGAGTCGCTGGCGCTGTCTCGTGTTCCTGAACACCATGTCCTAGCCCAGGCTGTGCTTTAACAGCCTCCTCCTGCCCCTGCTGCAGAACAGGGCTGGGCAGTCCTTTGCCAGCCTGGCCTGGGGGAAGGTGTCACAGCCCCGTGGGGCTCCGGGAAAAGCCTGCAGGCCCTCGAGGCTTGTGCCAGGGCAGTCCCTCCTCTTCCACCACAGGCTGGCAATACCATTAAAGGAGGTTTGAGCCAAATTTGGTGCCCGGATACTTGCTCCTGATGCATGCAAAGGCTGGAGGGGACCAGGGCCCCTGGGAGGAAGCAGCTTTGCCTTCCCCACCCTCCCAAAACCTCAGCCACACATATACTGATCAGCTGCACCTTTGAGTCCCATGCAGGGTCTTCCCCTTTCCCTTGGCTGCCTCCCTTCCTCTGACGATCCCTTGTGTCCCTTGGCTGTTCGGTCTCGCTTTTTTCCTTTCCTCCAGCTGCAGCATGTGCGTGTGTGGAGAAACGGCCGGGGCGCAGGACACGAGGATCTCGGGTGTTGGGAGCCGGTTTTGAGCGGGTTGGTTTCAAGATGAGTCACTTCCATCAGACCTCACAGACAGCAGGTGGCTGATGAAACCAGAGCATCCTGCTGCCGAAGGGGAGACTGTCCTCTCCCATCACCGGGTGACAGCACCGCAGCTGCTTCAAGCTGTAAAACAAACAAAAAAAAATATATATTTTAGTCCGAGGGGTGAGATACTGAAAGCAGGGAGGGCTGCCGGCCTGGGTCCCTTGGCCAGGCCAGCCGCCTGTCAGGTGTTTACCCTCTGTGCCAGGGCCCAGGGAGGGAAGGGCTCCCCAACACGGCGCCAAACCCTGGACAAATCTCTAAACGCTGCTGACGCAAACTGGAGTTTCTGGGAATTTCATTTCTTTCACAACCCGCCTCGCCTTCCCCCGCTCAGAGCCCCACCCACGGACCCCAGTGGGAGCTAAAGCGGGGCCGGGGGGCTGCAGCGGCCGCCCTCTCCCTTCCCCGGCAGGGTTCGGTGAAGCCCAGCACAGCCCCCGCACCCGCCCGGTCCCCCCCCGGCTCTCCCCGCCGCGAAGGCCGAGCCCCGGCGCTGCGGGCCGGGCCGGGCCGCAGCTCCCGCCGCGGGACTACATCTCCCGTCATGCTCCGGGCGAGCCGACCCCTCCACGCTTCCCACAACGCCGCGGGGCCCCAGGCCTACCGCGCTCATTGGTCACTTCCGGCGGCGGGGAGGGCGTGGCTGGCGCACGGCACTCTGATTGGTGGTCGCTCCCGGAAAGACGGTGCTGGCGGGGAGGGAGGCCGGGGCTGCCGGTCGCCATGGTGAGTGGGGTCGGGTGCGTCGACGGCGCCGGGACGGGCCCGGGGCTCCTCCGGAGACGGCCCGCGGCGTGTCCCTGCTCGGACCGTTAACGTGGCGGGGCTCGGGCTGAAATCGCGGCCGGGAGCCAGCGCGGGGCCTCCTAGCTACCCGCCCCCGGCGGGGCACACTGGGCCCCGGCCGCCTCCTGGGGCCTTGCCGGGGCCGGTACTTGGGAGGACTGGGCCAGACCTGCGGGGTGTGAACCGGCGCGGCCGGGCGGGAGCTCCGGGAGCGCTCCCAGCAGCAGGGCCCGGCCGTTCTCCCTGCGGCCCTCACGGGGGGTTATTTCTGCCGCAGGGGCTCTCACCCCCCACTCCCCTCCCCTCCGTATTTCGGTCCCGCCGCGGTGCGTTCTCGTAACCTGGGGCTGAGCAAACAGCAGGTGTCCGTTAACCGTTCCTGCGCAGACACTGCAGTGTGCGGATCCCGCTCTGACTCTCTCTCCCTTTGCAGGCCACAGCAACAGACCAGGTGGTTGGGTTCGGCTTGGTTGCTTTCAGCCTCATCCTCTTTGTTTACTACACCCTCTGGATCATCGTACTGGTACGGGTCTCCTCTGGTCATTACAATCGCAGTCACTTCACCCTAAGGTGTTTGCGTAGGCTTTGTTTAGGTGCTGATGTGTCCATGTGCCTGAAGGACTCTGCCTGGCCAGCTTTGCGGTTAAAAATTTCAGGGCAGAGCTTCCTCTGTTTGCTGGCACAGCCCTTGCCCCTTCTGGGTGTGCCCACCCTTGCCTGGGCGAGACGAAGCTTTGATCGTGCCGCCTGCCCTGCTGCTCTCAGACAGGCTGACCCGGACGGCGTAAGATCCAAGGCTCACTCGAGCTGTCAGCAAGAGCTGAAGCCTGGTCCCTCTGGAGGTGTTGTCATTGGTGTTCACATTTGCAGTCCCTCAGATTCCTGGCTCTGGTGGGAGATCACAGAGGGAAACGTAAAAAGAGGTGACTTACCAAATCTGGAGCCCGCTAGGGAGGAGAAGAGTTTAGGGAATGCAGCGCTCTGGAAAAGTGATTGTGAGTCTGATAGTTTACCCACTTCTAGGGACACATCAGCTGGGATCATTAGTGGTTTTCTTCCTGGAAAGAAATATCTCCTCCTGAGCTTTCCAGGTACGAGAGGCTTAGTTCAGCCCTGGGCTGATGTCTGAACTCCTGGTAGCTTCCCTTCTAACCTCAGATTTTTTAATTCCCCTCTTGTGTCTGCTTACTCCATTGTCTGATACATTTTTATACAGGTCTGTAGTCCCGGGAGCACATAGGTGTGCTCGCTGCTGTGTAGGAATCCTTACACTGCTCTCTAGTGTCCAAAGCCTTCCACTGGTTTCCGCAGAGAGACGGATCCTGGTGGGATCACCATAAAGCAGAGCCGCTATCATCTGCTTCCTTCTGCAGGGCAGAGAGTCCGGGGATTTGCTGTGTTCAGCACCAGGCGGGCTGGCAGCTGTGCCCACCCTGAGACCCCAGTGCTGCAGGACCCCTGTGCCAACCTCGTGTAGCTGCCCCTTGTTGTCTGCTGAGCGCTGAAGCCTTTACTGCTCACCCACTGTCACATCCCTGCAGCTGTAGGCTGAGCCACATGCGGGTCTGGGCACCCTTTTTTTAGCTATCTCCTCACGCCTGATATTTCCGTCCTCCTTTCGAAACCACGAGGCTGCAGGTGTCGGGGACTTGCCCTGGTGTTGTGCCTACCTGCTGACTCCCCTCTCTGTCTCCTGCAGCCCTTCATTGACAGCGACCATGGGATCCACCGGTACTTCTTGCCTAGGGAGTATGCGGTTATCATCCCCATGGTGGCTGGGCTGCTGCTGCTGCTATTTATAGGTGAGTGTTATTTCTGTTGTTCTAATTAGAAGCTTCTAAATTGGGAAGAGAGAAGAGTGTTGCTAGGGGGTTAGCTAACATGTGACGCTCATGACATGCTCTCTGTTGCTACTGCTGCAGCTTAGCCTGGCACGGGCTCTCGGGGCATGTGTTTGTGTGTAACTTTGGCTGATTGAACCTCTGGTCAGTGGAATTGTTTCTTCCTCACTCTGCTGAGGTTCTGTTTCTCACTACAATGTGTTTTAAAAGAGCCTGTAATTACAAGTTTTCCAGCTGAATCTCCTCTCTCTCGTGGTAGGTGTTTTCATAATGGTTGTGATGTGGAAGAGCAGGAAACCTGTGAAGAAATCAGAATGAAGGCCCAGCTGAGGAGAAGGCGCCCACCCTGCGGCATCGTAGCCAGGAAAAGACTTTGCCTGCAGCACTGGGCAGACGCCTCCTCTGGAGCGCTTGGTGCCAAACTGGCTGCGCTCTCCCACGTTCCTTCCTGCAGAGATGAAGTCTTCTGTAGTTTACAACTTACTGACCAAAGTGAAGCAAAACTGACCTCTGGGGCTCATTGAGAGAGGGACCAGAGCCCTGGCTGTGAGGGACCTGCTCCCCAGCTGGGGCTGCCTGTATCAGCTGTGCTTCGGCCTGTGCTGGCTAGAAGAGCTGTTGGAGTCCAGCAGCTGTAACTACCAGAGTGCAAGTCAAGCCCTGCCTGCTGCTTGGCCTCTGGGTAATCCCTCCCCTCTGCTCTTGCTGTGTCCAGTAGTTTGTTCCTTCTGGGGTTTTTTAAATGTTTACATATGGTTTGTGGGGGTTTTTTTAATTTCGTTCAAGTTTGAGAGGAAAGAAATGAGACTTTGGGCTTGGAAAAGGCCGGCTTGCATTCTCCGTTTGCCTGCTGGAAGGGCTAATCATGGTGCTGGTGGGCTCCTACCTTTCTGAAGAGGGACCCCTGTGAGGCCAAGCATGCAGATGCAGGGACAGTGCCACGGCTGCCCTCTGCGTCCCCTCCTGCAGTCATCCAGCTGAGGGGGTGGCGAGGAGATGTCCTGGGTCACAACGAAGTGTTTGGGGTGCGGTTCCCATCACAGCTGTCAGCTGCTGGCTGGGTTCCTGCCCCTGGACAAGGCTCTGTGTGCCATCTGGGCTGGGGCTGAGCAGGCAGGCGTGGTGGCACCCTCTCCTTTCCCCATGGGGTTTCATCTGCTGGCAGCAGCCGCTGCCCCAAGGTGCAGTGCCCTCGCAGCTCCCCCAGACCGCAACGAGTGGGATGACCCTCAATAAAGGTCCACAAGGTCTCGGTCCCTGTCCTCTGCCTGTGCCGAGGGGGTACTGATGGCCTGCCGGAATGGTTTCTGCTGCATGGCCCTGGCAGCACCTGATGCCATGCTGGGGAAGGTCCTGACGGGAACCCTGTCCGGCTGGTGGGGCCAGGCAGGGAAGCACCAGATAGAATCTGGCTGGTCATACCCAGCCTTGTGCTGGCTCTGCTGTGCTTGGGGGACTGCTTTACCCTGCCTGGGGTGGCTCTGGCAAAGGAGGGCAGATTTGGGGTGCTCTGATCCTTCTTGCATGTACTGTGAAGTTCCCCTACCAGACAGCAGCGTGTCCCATCATCTCCTGTCCTGCCGGGGGGTGATGCTGGTGGTTAAGGGGCACCCCAGGTGCTGCAGGTCTTGGGCTGAACCTGGCTGCGGTTTAACCCGCTGTGTGACTGGAGCCGGTGGGTGGGCCAGAGACGAGGCTCCAGCTCGAGGTTTGTTTCCAGCTCTTGCAGAGGCTGCCTGCCCGTGCCAGGCTGCGCCCTCCCCAAGGCCGAGTCCTCCATCCCGCTGTTTAACCTTGCCTGTGTCTTGCTGCCGCCCCTTCTCCCAGCGAGGAATCCCTTGCTCACCTTCCCAGCCCCTCACCTGCTGGTGCTGGACCGTGTGTGGCTCAGCCCACCCCAGGAAGGTGAGTTTGAGCTGGGGCAGGGGGAGACAAAAGGGGGAAAGATTCAGTCATGTCTCTGAGCAACTCCAGGTGTCCCCCCCAGGCACTGCTTCCTGCAGTGTCCCTGTCACCTCCTCTCCCCTCCTGGTCGAAGCCTGCAGAGGACAGGATTGGGACCAGTTTCAGGGTTACTTCTCATATTTCTTTGTCAACAGTGGGAGAAAGCAAAGTCCAGTATAACCCCCCGGGCAGGTGGGCGGCAGGCAGCTCGCTCTGGAGACATTTCTCAGAGGTGTTCTGCAGCTTGGCCCTGGCATGAGGGGCTGTGGGTGACGGGTGGTCCCCCAGGACCATGGCGGGACCAGGGTACCCAAAGGCCTCCCTGCCTGCTCTGGCCTGGCTCCTGAGCCATTTTGGATCATTTTGGCCCCTGGGCTGTTCCCACCATGCCTAAGCTCACCAGGGCCCGGCATGTTTGGGTGCTAGAAGTGAGGAAGGGGCTTTGGGACACGGGGGGGGGGTGACTGCAGGGACCCCCAGGCTGGAGGGAAGCCTGAGAGGGCAGAGCAGAGAAACGGGTGCCGGGGTCGGTAGCGGAGCACACAGGGTGGGTGCTGGGCTCGGTACCGGGACGGTTGGTCGCAGGACGCAGGGGATGGGTGGCGGGGACGGTCCCGGTGCTGGGTTCCGGGCGCGTCCCCGGAGGAGCCGGGGCGGGCGGGGGCGGTCCCGGTCCCGGCAGTGCCCGCTCGG